GTTCTCCCTTCTTCTTCAGAGGTCGAAGACAATCTTGGATTTTACTCTTGTATTTCTTTGTGAAGTCGACCCATTTCAAGCCAAACTGTCACCTCCCACTTAATTCTTCCTAATCACTATCAGATGGCTATTGAATGCTTGCTTTGTGTTCTATGAGGTGTTAGGCATTTCTATAGTATAATTTCTCTAAAATATCATCTTTGTCCTTAAGTTAGGGATGTGTGCAAAATGATCGCCCACACATGCACACACACAGACATGCTCTCATGCACATGGTTAGTTCCAGGAATAAGCCCTTCAGAAGAGGAGGAGAGTGTGGGTTCTGACAGCAAACTTACTTGGGAAAATAGGACTAGGCCCTGAAGGAAAGATGGAATGTAGGTGAGGGAAAGAAGATGAAAAGCAAAAAAGAAAAGAGCAGAAAGCTAAATAGTTAAGGCAAAATAAATGTACTAGTTTGGCAAAAGCCTTTGTTAGGGCCACTACAAGAGTAGAAGTTGGAGTGGAGGGGAAGTTTTAAATGTGGAGCATCAAAATGAATAATATGGATGCTAATGTGGTATCTCTTGTTTTCCAAAAATAACTTGTAAGAAGCACTAACCCATAGCCATTCTGCCCTTCTAAAGCTTCAAAACATCTCCATCAATCTCAGGAATCCTTCCATATTTTACCATATAGGATTTTGCCATTTTGGAGTTGAATGGAAAGACTAAAATAAAAGTTTCAGTTTTGTTTTGTCCTGAATCTTAAGGACATTTAGTTCTTGGATTCAGCAAATAAATGCTAAACTCATCATTTTCCCTCTTGAACCTCTCCTCCTGGGTCCATTCTTGTTCTTTTGAGCTTTTATAGTTTCTATGACCTCTCCCAATTGTCTTCTTTGTCCTCAGCATTCCATCGGTTGTTTTGTTCTAGTATTTCTCTTTACAGCGCTTCTTGTATCAATTCCTGCTCTTCACGCCCAGTCTTGTACTTAAGTCAGATACTACATATTACAAGAATTACTTCTGTTTCCATCTTTCTCACCTCCAACATATCCTACTATACACGAGCCTCATTCAGTCACAGTCCATTCAGTACACTTTCAGATTACTTTGCCTAAACACAGCTCTGGTACTGTGAAGCTCAAGCTCATAACATTCACAGGCTCCATACTGGGTAAAATAAAACCCATAGCTCGATATTTAAGACATTCCACAGTCTAGTCCCACTTCATATATTCTAAATTCTACTTTACTTTTAATACTCTAAATTCCTATCAAAACTAATAATCAATGTTTTCTAGGCAGATATCACAAGTTCCTGCTCTGGGTTGATATTATTCTCTCTTTTTGAATTGTTAATTGTGTACAACCTTAGATTACACCATTTTATATAAAAAATTTCTTATCCTGCCCTAACCTGTTTGGCTTAGTGGATAGAGCGTCAGCCTGCGGACTCAAGGGTCCCAGGTTTGATTCTGGTCAAGGGCATGTACCTTGGTTGCGGGCACATCCTCAGTAGGGGATATGCAGGAGGCAACTGATCGATGTTTCTCTCTCATCGATGTTTCTAACTCTCTATCCTTCTCCCTTCCTCTCTAAAAAATCAATAAAGTATGTTTTTTTTAAAAAATAAAAATAAAATTTCTTATCCTGCTGCAAAAATCAATAAAATATATATTTATTTAAAAAATAAAAATAAAATTTCTTATCCTGCCAACTCTAGCTGATGCCTACCATGAAGCCAGGCCTCATATTGCTTAAACCTCATATACCTTACTTCACGAATTATAAGAAGATGTGGGAGGAAAAGAAAGGTGATTGTCTAGTAAACTTACCGCATGCTTATGAAGTGCCATTAAAATGGGAAATATTCTAATATTGTTTATAGTCTCATTTACAATAACAATCGGGTATTACAAGAGGTAATATGAACCAGTAAATGTGTACACAGCAGTATGAGGGACACACAGAGCAATTATTGTGCTTCAGGCACTCATTTCATCTGCAAGTATTCTGAGAGGTAGGTGTTATTGCTAACCTCATTTTCAGCTGAGAGAACTAAGGGAAAAATGAATCCTATTCAGCTGTTAAATACTAAATCTGGGATTGGAACCCCTGTGATCTGTACGGCTGAAACCACCAGACTCTTCCGGGTCTAGTTTCTAATTGCATCCGCATAACTATCCCCCTCCAACACAACAACAAGTACCATGACTTCATCTCAGGACACATAAGCATGCTTTTTAAATGGTTCATAAAAATTCTTCCATTTGTGTTTAATTTTCAAAGTACTTGGAAGTGCATTCAATTATATGCGGCCAAATTTCGATTGAGAGAATTAGATAATATTTTTCTTTGGCTTATAATGTAGATAAAATGTCTAACATTCTTTAAGTGAAAGTTTCTAAATACTCTATAAAGATGAAAATACAAAATACTGAAATGAAATTCTATCAACAATATTTGACAGCTTATATACAAAAAGTTAATAACAGCAGAGACTGATGAAAAAATGAATGTAATTCAATGTTTGGCATGATAATTAAAAATTTGATTATAATTTATATAAATTAAAAAAAGACAAGATTTGGACTTCCTCTAATTTTTTTTTCTTTTCTGAAATAGATTTTTAATAAGCTGAGGGAAACTTTCCTTTTATCTCTCTAAGAAAAATACATAAAAATATTCATATATTGCATAAAATGTACAGTTTGTTCAATGAACATTTTGATTTTATAAAGCCATAGTGGCAGGAAATTAGGCATTATATATACAATGTTTACATATCATTTTAAACATAATATTTTCTTTTCTGACATATTCCACAATTAAACTGTAGCTAAACTAATAAAATGAAGAACCTAAAATAATAATTACCAAATGAGGAATATTACAACCCTTAAAATGCTATAATTTAGCCTAATATTATCTTAAGTTCTAAAAAGATAATGTTTGATAAACTACTTTATTACATCATTATTTTTAATTTTAATACCATCACATTAAAAGTACTTCTCTACATGTTCTCTATATATGGTCTATAACAACTATCTACTGCATCCTAGCAACAAGGAGTTGTATCAACAGCTTAAATACTTTTATTATGAATGTCATTTCTCTAAACTAGGTCTTTTCTTTTTTTAAAAAATATAGTTTATTGATTTTTTACAGAGAGGAAGGGAGAGAGAGAGTTAGAAACATCGATGGGAGAGAAACATCGATCAGCCGCCTCCTGCACATCTCCCACTGGGGATGTGCCCGCAACCCAGGTACATGCCCTTGACCGGAATCGAACCCGGGACCCCTCAGTCCGCAGGCCGACGCTCTATCCACTGAGCCAAACCGGTTTCAGCGGTCTTTTCTTAATGGGGGAAAACAGGCTCTAACTCTTGTTTGCTCTTTAAAATTGTATTGTTTTAACATTAGCATACTCAGGAGAACTGCTGAAAGTAAAAGGCATATCCCTCCGAC